GGAAAAAATGCTATCATAGTAAAAAGTTGTAAATTCTTGCAGGTTCTGGAATAGACTTATAATGTCGAAATAAATAGTAAATAAATGTTGTGCGGGAACAAATCAATATTCTTTTGTTAATTGAATTTGTTTTCGATTTTCATTTAAAAATTTAAAAAAAAATTTCCACATTTTAAGTACGGGAACAGAGCATTTGTAACGTCTTCAAAAAAGAGTTTACCGACATCGACGGTAAGAATTTCAAAATAGTGCCGGCTTGGTTGTTTATTGAAAACTCAAACATTTTTCAATTTCTTTCGATATGAAATAGACCTATAAATTTTGGTTCAATTATATCTTTAAAAGAAAAATAATAATAATAATAATGCCATAATTCGAAAAGGCGTGGGTAGTGAACATCGAAAATGATGAAATTACCCGGATTTCGATGTTTAATTACGCTGATGACAAATTTGCGTATGTATGTCATATTATACAAATTTAAAACAATGTGAAAAATGTCAAATTTGAGTTAAATTTTTGGGACAAATCTATAGGAATCAATGGATAACTGCCGCTTCAAGTCCAAGTGTAGATAAACCAAAGGAAGCTAACAAATAAAACTGAAAATATATTCGGTCATTTAAGGGAATTGATTTTAAAATGGAAAAAAAACTAATCGGGCGAAAATTTTGTGTTGTCAAATCAAAACGTTTGCTGATTGGACATTGGAGCATAATAATCAAAACGTTAATTGGAGCATAATAATTCGAAAAGGCGTGGACATCCAAAATTATGAAATTATCTGGAGTTCGATGTTAAGTTACGCTGCTGTAATATATATAAAAATAAAAAATGGAAAAAATGACAAATTGAGAATTTTCGGATGGCGATGGCAATCAAAAAATCTGAATTTCCAAGTGGATAGAAGCAAATGTAAATGCATTTCTGAACCATCAATATCGAATTACTTAGAATTTCGGTCAATTGTGTGGCAAAACCATGGCTCGAATCTATAGGAATGCTGCGAAATGGATTACTGCCGCACCAAAATTGTGAAATAATTCAAATATTTGTGTGCGCATATAATGGCGGCATTCAAGTGCATTGTAAATGACTTGAAATCGTATCGACCTGTAACTAATAGGTAAGTCTACGTCTAATTTTATGAGAAAATCAGCAAATATTTTTTTTTTTCTTTGTCAATAGTTTTTATACCCTTCACCACACTGTGGTACAGGGTATTATGTCTTTGTGCATATGTTTGTAACAAGCAAAAATAATCGAGATAGACCCATGGTTCCTTTTGAGAATATGCATAGAATCACTTTCTGAGTCGATTCATGCATGTCCGTCCGTCTGTCCGTCCATGTATTTTTGTTAACAAAGTACAGGTTTGTTAATGCCGCCAATACGATCATATATGGCCAAATTATGAAGTTATGAGCATATGTATTTAAGAGGTTGATATTATGAAGTATGGACATTCCTCATAAAACTAAACCCATTCCCTTATATGAATGACCGGAACTATTTCTAACTCATTTTTTGTATGTTTTCATTCGTTAAGCTTCACCTGAACCTCGATTAAGCGGAGGGAAAATCAAAAATTACATATATTTTACTAAGTGTGAAAAATTTCCAACATTTTTTTACACTTCAAAAAAATGGGAAGATTAAACATCTTCTTGCAGAAAATTAAGTAACGATTATATTTCGAGATGGACCTATATTACGTAGGGATTGGTATTACATAGTTTTTCTCTCAGTGGCTAGGGAATCTTCTTGGAAATGGTCGCTGGTTTTAATTATTTCTTCAATTGCTGCTATTTTTTTCTCTGTCAACTTTAAGTTCTGTCTGCATTCTATCGCTGTTGCAGAGGCTGTTACCAAGATCAATAAACATCAATGTTCTTCAATCCGTTTTTTTACAATTTCCCCTTCTACTCCCTTTTCAGAAGTCATTGAAATGGCAATTGTTTTCATTTCATTCAAAACAATCTTTCGCATAGATCTATTATTTTTTTATTTGCTGTTGCTTTTCAGTTTTATTTTCCACAAAGGGCTGGCGCGTGCGTTTCTTCTTTTTGTTGTTGTTTCCAAACAACATCAGCTATGGCGTTTACCTTCTTAATTACTCATGTGGAACCAACTTCATCTAAAAACCTACAAATCACAATGATTTGGGTTTGTATTTACCTCTTTTTGTTAGTTGTTGCTGTTGTTCAGAGACAGATATTAGGTTTCTACGGTTTAGTTTGAAGATCTCCAGTCGAAAAAAAAAAACAAAACAACGATAATAATCTTAGAACAAATCTAGGTTTCGGAAGTAGTTAGTAGTAGATGTACGTACGTATTATAAATTAAGATTCTAGATTTGATTTTTGTCTAATGTTCTTTGTTTTCCTTATTTATGTTTACAGCTGGCTACTAGAATATATTGGTCCATTAGTTTGTAGAATTTCCGTTTTACGGAGAAATACATCTGTTCTGAATTCTAGTAGAATTTTGTAATTGTATTTTATGGTGGCGGATGGATAATAAATTGAAAAATGTTCTTAGATTTACTATGGAAAATCTACTAAAACGGAAAGCTTCAGGCAGGAACTTCTTTTAAATATAGCGATATACCAAGGCACCCTCCGAAGTGATTATTTTTATACAATAGTTTTATTTTTATAACAAAGAAAATCTCACTACCCATTCATCCAATTTTTCATTCTAAAAACGTAAACAACGACCAAGTCAAGATATATTTATAGTCTTGGGCCAAAGATTTAACATTAGATTCGAGCAAAAACAGCTGAGGTTCGCTTGCTTTGATCTTGATACGATGGATCATTACGTTCTGAAATTCAACCTTCCGAATAATGTTAAGTGCTGGCTTCCCAATTATCTTTATAATCGGCAAGCCTCCATTAAGTTTCGTGGCAAGGATCTGAACAAGATCAAGAATCTAAAACGAGACTTTACAGTTTGTGAAGTAGAGACAATTATCTTAAAGGTTATTCTACTCAAAGTCCTTGGTCTAAACGAAATTTCTATGTTCGTGTTACAAAGGCTTGATGCAAGTGTTAGGTGATACAATCAAAAAGTCAAAGGGTGGACCCTTACGAAAAATGTCAAATCCTCCCTAATTATGCAGCTCAATCTGGACATCCTTCCTTTGGAGATCTTGGCTATCGTCACAAAATAATGTACTCCGAATTGCCACGGTTTGTGATCAGATGGCGAGCGTCGATCGTCTCCATGAGGAGATTAGGGCGTTATTTTCGGAATCGTAAGTAGGTGTCCTTTTGGGATTGTAAACCCTCACGACAAAATGTTTATCCTTTATAGGGATGTGTAATATGATTGGACTTAATCGGTTACTCCTTCCGAGTATTGTGCACACTAGGTTGTAAGACCGATATTTCAATTCGACCTGCAATAACTCGGATCATACCAAAATCCTATGCCGATTTTGCCTGTTGATTTTTTGGTATAACCGTCATTGTACCGACCCATCTATGATATTTTTATACCCTACACAACTATGTTGTCAGGGTATTATAGATTTGTGCAGCCCCAAGAGTTTGTAACGCCGCGAAATATTGGTCCTAGAGCCACCTTTTAGTATACCGATCGTCATATAGCTGAGTCGATCGGTTAATATTTAGGGGATGAAATGCATCGAAAATTTTCTTTTTTTCTGGTCGCTCCAGAGGCCGCAATTATGGTCCATGGAGAAGAAGATCGGGCCAAACAAATTAACCCTGACTTTTGTGTGAAAATTACAACATTTGTATTCTATAGCCTATATATTTATCCCTGAAGGATGTAGACCCTAGAAGTTGATAGTATATCCAAGAGGAGTGGTTGACCTTTAAATTTATACCAATTATATTGTCGTATGTACTCGAATGTGGGTGTTATACTTAAAAATTTACAGGTGCTTACGTATTCCGATATTATTTAGTAACCCATTACCACACTGTAGGGCGGAAATATAGCGCTGATCGCATTGAAATTTTCCATGAGGGTCCAGGTATGGTCAAGGACAACGCCTATAATTTTCGGTGATTATCAGATAATATTGGGATGAAGTAAACCGAAAACTAATTTTCGTGTTTTTTGATCCAACTATAGGCCACAATTGAAATCTGAACATCACAACACAACCCTCGGTGAAGGGACTCTGAACGAGTAATTAGAAGGGCTGTACTGAATATTAGTAATATTCGTTGACCTCTAGTCGGTCAAGAGGGTGCAAATATCGCGAAATATTTTTCATATATAGAACCACAGAAAGTTAGATTTCCGTGGAAGTTGTGTAGGGTATAATATGGTCTGCCCCGTCCGACTATACTGCTCCGCTCACTGGTTAAGGCTATAGCTTCATATTGCAAACGAATATTCTGCAATTTGAAATTCAAGATTCTTGGTGGGTAAAGCAAAAATGTTAAAATATAGGTCCATGTTTTGACTTAGTTTGCAAAACAGGTCCTACCGAAGAGCCTATAATTTGTCATTTCGCGGTTAGGTGGCTCCATATTTTCACAAACATATAAATATACCGTCCTTTTTAAGGTATAAACGATTTTGACTGTAGATCGAAGAATTGGCATAGACCCAATATAAAGGTCGTGACCATAGGCCTAGCCCCATTTTCCAATCAACGTAGCTGTAATTAGGGATTTCGAGTTCTAAGAGGATAACACATTTCTTTTTGGACAATTTGCCGATCATTTCGATTGAGCAAGCCCCATTTTCTAAAGTTTCGGTAATTTTATATTTCGGCTTCTTAGAGGATTAAAATAGTACCATCGAATTTGTAGAAATATCAGCCGCACCTTGCAATTTAGATATAAGGGGTTAACTTCCAATAGTCTCAATTGGCCTTTTATTGTAAGTCAGTCATATTCTCCTCGACTTCCTCACTTTTTTGCTGGGTGTTTCTCCCTTGCCGATATTTGTGGTTTCTTCCTCTGGAATCCGCGCTCTACTTATTTTTAAGTACGTTGCGTTGGGAAACGTAGTACCATATCATTAGTTTGGCCAGACTTGCCAATAGAGTCATATCAACGTCTACCTGGATGAATTTCCACTTCTGCGATATGTTTTGAACTCGCTGCGCTAACATGTGATGCAAATAGTTGCCTTTTGTGGCATCCTTCTCTCTCAAATAGTCAATTTTGGAGAAGACCGTGTTGGATACGGAGTACGTTTTATCTTTGGTCTTGGCCAGAGATGCCATTGAAGATATGTTCAAGTCTTCCACAGGAAGGATCCGATTTTCATTCTCCTCCTTGTGGAAAAATTCCAACTACTTCACTAGTAGTGTCTTGAGCATACGTTCTGTTGTAAACATGTTTCCCTAACCTCTGACGGAGACTGTTGCCTTTTGTTATCGATGAATGTCAATTTTCTTCGCCAGCTTGAGTTTGATTATCTCACATGGATAGGCAATTCTATCCACTAGATTTTACATGACGTCTATATAGCTATACAGATCGATATAGCCCCCTTGTTATCAACGTAAAATCTCTTTGTGTATCTCATCTAACACCTCCTTATGGGTCTCCTTTTTCAGTTCTCTATTCTTCACCAGCAGATTATCCAAGATTTTATTGTGGACCGCATCCAGTATTTTAGTTTTTCCCGGCCTTTACGGCCTCGTCTTTTGGATATTTGAGCAAGAGTTGATGGATTCTCGTAGCAGTTCCTTAAAGTTTGGCTTGTCCCGCCTTTATCTTTGCACCCGACACGATAAGATTTTTCTTTGTCTTCATTTCCTTTTGAATTCGTCTTCTCTTGCGGATACTTAATTCTTTTCACCATATCTGAGGAAGTGAAAGGAAGGTTAGACTTATCAGAAGATTAAGATGAAGTCTCATTTTCTGAATACTAGTGTCAACATTCCGCCCTCAATCGATGGATTCTATCCTTTAACTTTGAATTGGCTAATCTTTTACTTTGTATTCGAAGATGAAAAGCTCTTCTTTCTTTTCATTTGCTCTCCGAGAGAAGTCAGTCTTATCATTAGGAAATTGCCGGTATACCTCGTATTCGATGACGGGAAGCTCTTTGGCGTCTCCTTGTCCTCTTATTTTGCGTTCGAAGAACTAGCACTTTTCGCCGCTTCAGAGTAAGTCCAGGTACATTCATAGGGTATTTACGAATAATTCTGATACATTCCTTGTTTTCTGGATACTAATGTTAACTTTGCCAACCACAATCCATCAAATTTTCCTTTAATTTTGGGTTGACCCAGTTTACTCTTGACATCCGATGATGGGAATCTCTTTTCCTTTTACGTTTTTATTTTACGTTGGTCTGCTCATTCGGAAGGAAATAAGGTCAGGCTTAATGACATTAAGGACTTTTCGATACAGACAAATTCCTTCTGAATACGAGAAATGGCGATATTCGAAAGATTAGCATGGAAGTCTTCTTTGAGTTTGGTCTGATTTCCCTTCGCATCCGAAAATGGGAATCTCTTTCTCTTTCATTCTTCCGGAGATCTGATCATCTTTGACGCTTCCAAGGAAGTGAATGAAAGGTCAGGCTTATCATTAGGTACTTCCGTCTATTGTGCGTTCATCCTGGAAGATGTCCTTACACATCTTCCACTGCAAAAAAAAAAAAATATATATATATATATATATATATATTGCAGATATTCATCGCTTAGAATAAAAGAAAATAAATAAAAAAATCGTATCATCATGAGAAAGCCACTATTTTTCCAAAATATGTAAACTTTTCATTAATATCAAAATTAATTCCTACTTTATTTTTTTTTCTCTCGCTCTTTCTCATCAATTACTCATAAAAAGAACATGACTTAAAACAACATAAAACATACTTAAACATAGTTTCTTTATTATCTCTTTCTCTCTCTGACAAGAAACCAATATTTAAAGTTTTATGAATCGAATTCATAAAATTCAGAAATCCGGCCATTGGCAACACTTTCTGAACATATATGATACGAATTATTATTTTCTGTGTGTCTTATCTGCCTTTTCACATCTCCGACATTCTATAAGGTCTTTGTTTGGTTTACTTTCGTTTTCCGACTCGGAATTTGAGCTTGAGTCCCCGCCTGTGAGGCAAGATTGGTCTTCCCAGATTGTGTCTAGACTGACCCTCCCAGGATAAGTCGAATGGGCTCTTCTCTCGAACTTAGCTACATATTAGTCTGTTGGCTACAAAAAGTTCTTCTATGCAAAGTTTTTGAAAACAGCAACCATTCCCATAACTAATCTTTGATGATTAGCTTCCGAAGAAGTCATAGGGTTTCCTCTACCCCAAAGATGTTACACCTGGCATCATTTCCTTTTGGCGAAATATTATGCCACAAGCATTAATGCTCACTCACTCAATCGATAATAATAATTTTCCCATAACTTATGCCACTTCGTAGGATTCTCCACATTGAAAACATAACACCAGAGAAGATCATTAACTTCTCTAAATGGATTGAGATCATAAAAAGAAACACCTCAAATTAACTTAGACGGATTAGAGCAGAAGAATGTGGGGAGAAAGAATGAAACACTCGCATTCTCATCGGGAAACCTGATAGAATCATTCATTCATCAAATTTCAAAATTACTTTCATGTGAAACGCAACGCAACAACTTCTACTTCTCTAACCTTTTTTGTTGTTATTGTTTGCCATTTCCATTGAAAGTAAAAACTTCGCTGCGTCCAATTCCCATATCAGGTGGTAATGAGTGGTGGATGAGCTTCTTTATCTTCTAAATAACCGACAACGACAGCGAAAAAACTTGCCGCCACAATTAACAGCATTCCAACTTTGCTTAGAAAAAAAATAAATGATTCCTCATTGTGGCTCCAAGCTCAGCCATAACATCTTGATCCGTACAAAGAGCTGGAGGCTCCAACATTACACCGATGTTTAAAATTTCCTAAACAGCAACAACGACAACAGCAACACAAAAACGAAAACAATAAAAATGTTCTTGGGTTACATACTTCGGTTGTAAGGGCTTTTCGAGGGAGAACGATGGAAGAGGCGGGGAGGTGGAACCCTTTATGCTTGGCTGCCTAAATGTATGACCGATCACACATGGTCGGCTTGCATTGTGATGTGTGATTGCTGGCGGTGCAGACCTTAATAAGCCTTCATAATATGGGTTTGAAATAGACCTAACATGCATACAAGTATGTATGCTAGTGTGTGTGTGCGGTTGGAACCCAAGCGTCAAGCAAGGTAGTATGTACATACAAATATTTACAATGGACTTACCTGTAGTACAACATCCGTACACACATAATTCTTCTTAAGTGTATTCAATTGGAGTGCATTACTCCAATTCTGCTTATTCGTAGTGCTGCGGTGGAGGGTATTTTGTGTGCGTTGAGAGTGAGTCAATGTCTTTTCCACAAATGGACGGAACGATTTAGCACAGTGGTGTGAAAAAGAAACAAAGGAAAATATTTTTTCAAGAAGTATAAGAAGATTAGATTTCCCAAAAAAATATTTTTGAAAGAAGTATAAGAGGCGTGGATTTATAAAAAACATTTTTTCATGGAGTATAAGAGGCGAGGAATTATAAAAAACATTTTTTCATGGAGTATACGAGGCGTGGATTTATAAAACATTATTTTTATGCCGTATAAGAGGCGTGGATTTATAAAAAACATTTTTTCATGGAGTATAAGAGGCGAGGAATTATAAAAAACATTTTTTCATGGAGTATACGAGGCGTGGATTTATAAAACATTATTTTTATGCCGTATAAGAGGCGTGGATTTATAAAAAATTATTTTTTATGCCGTATAAGAGGCGTGGATTTATAAAAAATTATTTTTCATGGAGTATAAGAGGCGTGGATTTATAAAAAATATTTTTCATGGAGTATAAGAGGCGTGGATTTATAAAAAAATATTTTTCATGGAGTATAAGAGGCGTGGATTTATAAAAAATTTTTCATGGAGTATAAGAGGTGCGGATTTATAAAAATAATTTTTCATGGAGTATAAGAGGTGCGGATTTAAAAAAAAATAATTTTTCATGGAATATAGGAGGTGCGGATTTATAAAAATAATTTTTCATGGAGTATAAGAGGCGTGGATTTATAAAATAAAATTATTTTTTATGCCGTATAAGAGCCGTGGATTTATAAAAAATATTTTTTATGCCGTATAAGAGGGGTGGATTTATAAAAAATATTTTTTATGTCGTATAAGATCCGCGAATTAAAAAAAAATATTTTTATGTCGTATAAGAGCCGCGGATTTAAAAAAAAATATTTTTTCTACGACTATTAGTTCTGATAACTTTTTCGACATACTGTGCCCCTCACTATACTATTTAGATTGTTTGTACAATATGTCACGATGACACACAATGACATTAAGATCATCATCAGCTTTAAGGTAATTGTCATTCTCGACCACCATCACGACGATGGAGACGGAGACAATCATAATAACGACGTTGACCATCATAATGATATACATACATATATTTTTTATGTTCAAGTAATTATAAAGTAACAAATGCAGTACTCCAGTATTTATGTAGATATGTAATAAATATACCTACACTCCTCAGACACACACACATGTATGTGCGTAAATATGTTAACATGGGTTTTTTGTACACATAATTTTGTTAAAATAGTTTTTTGGTTTAAATATTATGTGAGGTATATTGTGTGTGCGGTAACCTGATATTGGTGTCAGTAGCATAAAGTAACAACTCAGAAAAAAATGTGTCCCATACCCAACCATCATCGTCATCATCCACTGACAAATGAGATTGGACATAATATCACAAAAGAAGTTAAGAAGTCAAAGAATGTTCCATGGACAAATTGTTTAAATTGTGAATTTGAAGGAGAATAGTGTGGTAGAATATGTAAAATTTTTGAAAAAAATGTGTTTTATAAATCCTTGACTCTTATACTACATGAAAAATAATTTTTTATAAATCCTTGACTCTTATACTACATGAAAAATATTTTTTATAAATCCTTGACTCTTATACTAAATGAAAAATATTTTTTTATAAATCCTTGAATCTTATACTAAATGAGAAATAATTTTTTATAAATCCTTGACTCTTATACTGAATGAAAATTTATTTTTTATAAACCCTTGACTCTAAATGAGAAATAATTTTTTATAAATCCTTGACTCTTATACTGAATGAAAATTTGTTTTTTATAAATCCTTGACTCTAAATGAGAAATAATTTTTTATAAATCCTTGACTCGTATA